AGTCTCGTTTTCCTGTTGTTCCTTTCAGTTGCGTGGCTTCTCATGTTTTCAGTGTATAAATGAATGTTATAATAATAAGCTTCCGTGAACAGCCAGGAAGAGGGATACCAAATTGCCCCCTCTAGATGTTGCTGGACTTTTAGCTTCCGTCATTCCTGACCACCGGCCAAGCTGGCTGGGTCTGATGGGAGTTGGAGTCCAACACAATTTGAAAGGCATTTGGTTGGCTACCTCTGGGCTAGAACAGGCATAGGCAAACTCAGCCCTCCAGATGTTTTGGGACTACAACTCCCATGGTCCCTAGCTAACAGGACCAGTGGTCAGGGATGATGGGAGCTATAGTCCCAAAACATCTGTAGGGCCATGTTTGCCTATGCCTGGGCTAGAATATAATGCCCAAACAAACAGAATGATCAGGCTTTGACTATTGGGTGGCTGCAGAACTTCCAGAGACTGTTGTTTTGTATATCCTTTGCAAGGCAGGCATTTACGTCAAATGTCCCATGGGCCCGACTTGGAATTAAGCCAGAGCCAAACATTTGTTATGATTCCAACAGGACATTGTATCCTGTTAAGTAAGCTAAGCATTCCCTTACAGGGAAGGAAAGATGCTTTGTCTCATTTGATGGCAATCTAACAGTTCTGTAAGAGAATCCAAATGTATGTTGCACATAAATTTGCCTTGTAAGTGCAGCAAAAAAAAAAATCTTTTTGATTAAATTTGTCATTTTACCAAATTCATTAATAACATTTTTAAAGGTTCTGATTTGCATGTTAAGCCTACATCAAAGACAGCTGAGGTTGTAGACTGTAGTCTATTGTGCAGACAAAAGGAAATATGCAAATTCTCACCTTTAACAAGATTTCAATTGTAGTTGTTCTTAGTGCTTAGGGCAACATATACTTAGCGGCTGATTTCAGGAAATGCATTGAAAACTGTTAGCAAGCAATGCCATTCACCCAACTTATTTGTTGAATGGACATTTTTACCATCATTAGAATATTATTGCTACAGCCTGTTTATTGACAGCAATTTATCTGGACCCAGGTTCCACAGACAGTGTATAGTTCCTTGACCTTAATAATGATTTGCTAAAATTTTGTCCATTGTGAAATTATCCTAAGAGTTCTGTCTGACACAATTCCTTCACCACAGGCATAATTGGGGGGGGGGAGGGAATAGCCCAAGATTAAGAAAGTGAAAATACACATTTTTTTCCTAGGTAACTTTTAGGCAGAATCCAGACATGACCAGACATGTCTGCAAGACTTTATTCAAACTCTTTTGGGTTCAATCAAAACTCTTTGGGTGATTAAGCCTGTGGCGGAAGCATCACATTCTCATTTGATTTCAATTTAGGCGACTATTTCATGGCAATACTAGAATAAAGTAACAAGGAGAAAACCAGTTAAGTGAATTGGCTCTTAAAACATTAAAAACATCCTCTGATATGCTATCCAGTATTAACTTTATCTCCTACCCAAGCCTATCATACAGTATAACTCTTTAAAACACAACCACACTTAAAGAGCACAATGTTACAAGTTCAGGGATGAATGGTAAATATTTCTCTGAACGTAGTCTAAAGTTATGGGAGCTGCAGGAAAGGGCAACTGTTTTCCTTAGACCTTACTATATAATATGCTACCAGGTCCAGCTAAATAAGGACTGCAGGTCAGAGGTGAATCAACAGAAGCTGGGTGAGGCTCTAAATTTAGCTATCTGCTCCTGTCATGGAGAATATATTTTTAGGCCCAAAGTCCTGGGAAGCCATTGTAATTGCATGCCACATGGACAGGGTGCAAACAGCACATATTTTCCATGACTATTGCACGGTCACATTTTTAAATGATCTCCCCTGCCCCGAATGATTCCATCTCCTCTGCTGAGATCACACAAACCTACCTGATTGGAAGTGGGTGGCGACAAAACCTTACGGGAATGGAATTTTGTACCAATGAAAATAGATTGAATTTTGTGGCTTTTGTATAGTCATTGAAATAATAGGTTGAAAGAAAAACACACCATGTGCAGTCCTGAGACCCACAATTAAATACTATCAATAGCATCGTTCCTATTGTCTCCCCCTCTTTGTTGAAATGCAGATTGCAAGGGTCTCTGGCAAGGTTTCCTTGTTATGTTACTATGTAAAGTGGTGTTGGGGAGCTTGTGATCCTTATGTGGTACTGAACTATAATCCCAATCATTCCTGACTATTAGTCCTGCTGGGTTGGGTTGATGGGAGCCAGACTCTAACAACATCTGGCAAGTCAAAGGCTCTCCATCCCAGATGTTAAGCATAATGCAGATCAATTATTTGTAATTATAGATCATTGGGATATTTTGGAAATATCTGGCAACGTGAGAAGCTTCGCAACGGTTGCACTGGTGAAAGCTATTGCCTTTCATGAACCCATCACTTCCTCTCTTTTTAAGTTAAACCACCTTCCTTCTGTAAGAATGAAATGTGATTTGTACAAAGCACGGCCTACAAGAATGCAATTGCCTACCAAACACACACAAATCAAAGGATGCTTCCCATAGAGTTATTATGGCTTGCCGTGTATGCATTGCTTTTCAAGTATTCATTCATTGCTTTTCCAGAATGCAAGGTGCCTCTGTAATGGATGACAAAAATGTAAATCTCAACACTATGGATTATTTGCTATGCACGAGTACTTTCATTATCCGTTCCAGAATTACGTGGTACTCATGTACTTTGTTGTGATAGCTCTATTTATTTTTTGTTTTGTTTTCTCCTATAAACTTAATAAAAATAACTGAAGGGGGGAAATATGCAAAGTGCTTTATAATCAATACCATCTCATCCTGAAAAGAACCATGCAGTCATCATTATTCCCATTTTCCTGATGGGAAGCTTAGCTTGAGAGACATATTTCCTTAGGGACATCCAAGGAGACCACGGCTGGTGCAAAATATGAAACTCTAATATCTCTGATGGAAATCTGGCTGTCTGCTTTAAATCCCACCTTCAGGTAGTGGGGTGTATGTGTATGTGTGTGTGCTGTGCTTAATATTGGACAGGAAACTCTGCTGAGTGATGTGGTAATGTCTGGCCATCAACTGGAAGGCTGAAGAGCTTGCTACAGTTTGACAGCTGCCTCCCGTAGGTCTCAGTGATCTGGCAGCTGTTTTACCATCTATGGCATCCCTATTTGAAATCAGCTTCAAACATTTTCCCAGCACTAGCAATCTGAGCAGATGACTGCAGCATATTATTCCGGCTGGACTTCTTCTTTCCCATGTTTTAAGCTTTAATCCTTCCTCTGGGGATACCAAGTTGCACACGCTCGTGCTATTTTCTTTCTGGAGAGACTCTTTATACGTATTTTTTTTATAATAAAAAAAATTATTTAGTTTTCAAGATCACTTGAAGATAATCCCAATGCAGCGAGGTTGGTATCAGTTACAAGCCTTTTTCCAGACAGTGTTTTAAGTTATGTCGTTTCTAATAAGTCAAAGCGCAAGAGTTGAATATATGGGCTTTGTTTTGCCGGCCTGAACTTTTGTCAATTTGCCACCTACAATGCTTGTGTGTTTGCTTTGAGCTGGCCGCCTGCATTTGCTTAATAAATTCCTTCATGCCAACTTGAATTACTCTGGACAATGGAAAAACTACTCAGCATATTCCATTGTGCACTGTACGTTTAGAGTGCTCTCATTTTTATATTACCCTGGGTGTATCTGCATGTAGGAATACATGCATAAGACACTGGAACTAATATGTCCTTTTTATTATTATTTGCATACACTGTTAACATTAGCAGATGAAAAACAGGAACATGGGAAGTTGCCTTATACATAGTCAGATCATTAGTCCATCTAATTCACTATTATTGTCCCCACCAGAAGTGGGAAATCTGCCCTTCAGATGTTGTAGGACTTCAACTCTTATCAGTCCTAGCCAGGGATGATGAGAAGGACATTGGAGGACAATAGGTTCCACATATCTGCTCTACATATAGAGAGGCCCATAGGGGCACATTTGGTCACCAGGCCTGAGGTTTCTCACCTCATTCTAGGGCTTCATAGGTTAGACCTTCAACTGATCTTGGAAACTCAATCTGGTAACCAATAAAGTTGTTTTTATTTAGAAGAATATGTCAACAACTCAGGCAGCAGCATTCTTGTGCCAGCACAAGTTTCTGAACCAACTTCATGGATGATCCCACACAGAGTGCATTTTCCAAAAAATGCTATTTTTCTAGAAAAAGAGATGCCGGAACTCACCATGAACACCTCCCTCATTCTCTTAGAATGGCAAAGGCGCCCACCTGAGAGGTGCCAGAACTGAGTACCAGCTGAAAAGAAGCCCTGATTACAGCAGTCAATTTTCTTTGTTTCTATCTTCCAACAGAGGTCACAGCCAGTGCACTAGCCAAAGCTAACAAAAGGTCTTCATCTAGAAGCAAGGCCAACTCCCAAAGTGTTCCCAAGCGATAGACTTAATTCTCACAGGGAGAGTGATTGTGTCTAGAAAAAGCCTTTCTCTTTCCAACCTGCTCCACAGACTCCGCTTCTCTCTTGTCTCGATGGAACATAGGTTTATTCACCTTTCATAAGTTTGATCTGAAATTGTCAAGGCCAATGGCAAGTCACCTTCACTCACACAGTCACCCATTACATGCACATATTCAGGTCCGTCACTCTGGTGTTCGTACGGAGCCCCCAGTCGTCTCACGGACTATTGACCCATACACCACTAATCCGCTGCCACCAATCAGGTCCTCCCCGGTAAATTACTTAGTCTCAGTCAGGTTCTTAAGTTAAGAAGAGTGTAGTTTATTGCAAACACAAATAAACTTTAACTGCCTTCAAAATCTTGTTACTCTTTACCTTCTTAGTTTTATTTTATCCTGTCTTTAACTCTTCTACCTCCCCTCACACAAGAACCAACTCCACTAACTGTCGCTCTATTTCCAACAGTCTGCCAACTGCTTTCCCAACTGCCTTTCCCAACCAACCAACCCAAACCTCGGGCTAAGCCCTTTTATAAACAGGTAGGCTCCACCTCTGGCTTTTCTATTGTTCTACCTATTAACTCTTTCTCTCACCCTGTACAGACATTTTAAAAAGAACGAGCAAACACCACAGTCACTGTCCTCTGCGACCCCAATGACCTCTCTTAAAGGTCTTGCATAGATGGAAAACAAACCGAGGTCTAAGCCAATAGTTCACCTTTAAGAGCATTTGGCTTGAAATGAAGAGTGAAATTTGGGCCAGGCAGAGGAGCTGGAACTGGGTGTTATTCCAGGGAAGCTTACCACTGCAGAGGTAGCAGTGGCAATACTTCCCTCCCACTTTTTTTCTCTCCCCATAAAGTACATTTTAAGGAAGTGGAGTTCCTCTTAGCAGCCACTCATGTTCAAGACCATATTGAGTACAACCACCACCACTGACCTTTCCCCCACAGGATATGGGGAAGGTTGGGAGCTGAGCATGGGTGTGGGATGGTGGAGAGTGGCTTGCAGATTCAGGTAGGTAGCCGTGTTGGTCTGACGCAGTAGAAATATATAAAATAATAATAATAAATTGTCCAGTAGCACCTTAGAGACCAACTAAGTTTGTTCTTGGTATGCAGAGTTTGTGTGTTCAAGAAATGGACCTCAGAGAAATCCCTCATCCTAGGGGGCGTAGGATGGAATTCTATGTTGTGCTCTTCTTATCATTCTGCCAGCTCAAGCATTACTGCTTGCCCGGTGGAACAATCTCCTCTGCTCCCCATCCCCCGCCTGCATGCTTCTCCTGACCCCCCACCCAGCAGATTTGAGGGAGGTGCACGTGGGGAGAAGACAGGGGGGAATGCCTCATTGTGCTAGCAGGAGTCATTGCACTGGCTTCCACAATTGCAGCTGGTTAATTAAATCCTTTAAAGCCCTAAACGGCCTCAGTCCTGTATACCTGAAGGAGCGTCTCCACCCTCATAATTCAGCCCGGACACTGAGATCCAGCACTGAGGGCCTTTTGGCGGTTCCCTCGCTGCGAGAAGTGAGGTTACAGGGAACCAGGCAGAGGGGCTTCTCGGTAGTGGCGCCCTCCCTTCAGATGGCAAGGAAATAAACAACTATCTGACTTTTAGAAGACATCTGAAGTCAGCCCTGTTTAGGGAAGTTTTTAATATCTAATGCTGTATTGTTTTTAACACTCGATTGGAAGCCGCCCAGAGTGACTGGGGAAACTCAGCCAGAGGGGCGGGGTATACATAATAAATTATTATTATTATTATTATTATTATTATTATTATTATTATCATAAATCCAACCTAAACAGTTGTTCTACTACCACTTTTTTGAACCTCGTGCCTCCTAATGATAAGTTAGATACCAAGATCAATGGGGGTCTTCTTATTTTTTTAAGAAGGGGCCTTATCACTGCTTCAGTCAAGGCAGCTAGTGAGCAACTGAAATGATAAATTTACCACCAAAGTGACCAGGTTAAAACAGTTTACTATGGCTAGATGTCACCAGCCAACTAGAGAAAATATTAAAAGGACCAGCAGCCACCCTGTCAGGCCTATTGGAGGCGGTGGCCGGCTGGGCCTTGGAGTTCCCTAACCTATTGGTATTGGGGGACTTTAACATCCATGCTGATGCCACTCCCTCCTCACAGGCTCTGGACCTGGTGTCTTCCATGGCGACACTAGGGCTCTCCCAGTTTGTTTCGGGCCCCACACATCAAGCAGGCCACACGCTGGATTTGATCTTTGGCGTAGGTATAGATGTGATCATGTCTCCTTCGATGAAGGTGCCATGGTCTGATCACTACGCTCTGAAAGCCAGGATTGACTTTCCACCCCACCCTGCTTAGGTGGCGAGCCGATTGGGGCTCGCCCGCAGAGGCTGTTGGACCCTGATCGCTTCCGCCAAGCCTTGCGGGACCTTGCGCCCCTGGCGACTCATTGACTGAGCTTGTTGAGGGCTGGAATACCCAGCTCCTGGCAGCCATCGATGAGATCGCACCTAAGCGCCCTCTGCGACCCCGCAGAAACCGGGCTCCCTGGTTTACCGAGGAGCTCCGGAAAATGAAGCGGGACCTCAGACGGCTAGAGCGAGTATGGCGGGGTGCCCGTGACGGAGCCTCAAGAACATCTTATAGGGCTTTTATGAAAACCTACAAGATGGCGGTGAAGGCTGCTAAGAAGTCATACTTCTCGGCCTCCATTGCATCCGCAAGCTCTCGCCCGGCGCAATTATTTAGTATAATCAGGTCTTTAACGTCCCTTGAGGGACAGCCAAATTTAAATAACAATTTGACACACAGCTGTGAGGCATTTGCGAGCTTTTTGCGGAGAAGGTCTTGTTGCTCCGCCATGACCTCCCGGCCAATTTGGATACAATAAAGGAACTGGAGGCCCCTCGACTGTCCTCGGGTCCAGTATTGGACCACTTCGACCGGATATCCCCAGCCGATGTGGACAGACTCCTCCGAGCTGGAAAGCCCACCACCTGTCCTCTCGACCCGTGCCCGTCTTGGCTGATTAGAGCGTGTCCAGACGAGGTGCGGGCCCTCCTGGGGATATCATCAATTTGTCCCTTGGCACGGGGACATTCCCAGGGGAACTGAAGGAGGCAGTGGTGCGCCCGCTCTTAAAGAAAACATCATTAGATCCTTTAGATCTATCCAATTACCGCCCGGTTTCGAATCTTCCGTTCCTGGGTAAGGTGATTGAGAGAGCGGTTGCTGAACAGCTTGGTGGTTTTCTGGATGAAACATCGGCTCTGGATCCATTCCAGTCCGGCTTCCGCACTGGTCATGGGACCGAGACGGCTCTGGTTGCCCTAACAGATGATCTTCGTAGACAGCTGGATCGAGGCGGGTCGGGGCTGCTGATTCTTCTAGATCTGTCAGCAGCTTTCGACATGGTCGATCACGAACTTCTAGACCACCGCCTTGCCGACGTGGGGATCCAGGGCACAGTCCTTCAATGGCTGCGCTCGTTTCTCTCTGGTCGGGGACAGAGGGTGGCGCTTGGGGGGGAATTGTCATCGCGCCACTCCTTGGTGTGTGGAGTACCTCAGGGTGCGATACTCTCCCCGATGCTTTTCAACATCTTTATGCGCCCCCTCGCCCAGCTTGTTCGGAGTTTTGGGCTGGGTTGCCATCAGTATGCCGATGACACCCAACTCTATCTGTTGATGGATGGCAGAGGTCCTGTGGCTGGGACGGGGCGATATGGGATTGGGGGGGCAACTCCCATCTCTTGCGGGGGCGCAATTAGTGCCAGCACCGTCCGTTAAGAGTTTGGGTGTAATCTTCGACACCTCCCTTTCCATGGAGGCGCAGATTGCAGCTATAACAAAGGCGGCATTTTTCCATCTCCGCCAAGCTAAGCAGTTGGCTCCTTACCTCTCTCGCCCTGACCTAGCCACTGTGATCCATGCGACGGTCACCTCCAGACTGGATTATTGTAACTCGCTCTACGTGGGGCTGCCCCTGAGACTGACCCAGAAACTCCAGCGGGTGCAGAATGCTGCAGCGAGATTCCTTACGAGGTCTTCGCTGCGAGATCACATTCACCCGGTGCTATACCAGCTGCACTGGCTCCCGGTGGAGTACAGGATCAGGTTTAAGGTGCTGGTTTTAACCTTTAAAGCCCTATACGGCCTAGGACCCTCGTACCTACGGGACCGCCTCTCCTGGTATGCCCCACAGAGAAACTTACGGTCTTCGAATAAAAACATCTTGAAGGTCCCAGGCCCCAGAGAAGTTAGGCTGGCCTCAACTAGAGCCAGGGCTTTTTCGGCTGTGGCTCCGATCTGGTGGAACACTCTGTCACAAGAGACCAGGGCCCTGCGGGACTTGACATCTTTCCGCAGGGCCTGCAAGACAGAGCTGTTCCACCAGGCCTTTGGCCAGGGCACAGCCTGACCCCTCCCGCGGCAATCTTCGCGGAGCTCTGGCCCAATGGTTGCCAGTGGCTTGAATTAATTAATTTTATAACGAATGATTTTAGACTGTTGTTTATGCTGTACTTTTGTACTGTTTTATTGTTGTTAGCCGCCCTGAGCCCGGCTTCGGCTGGGGAGGGCGGGATATAAATAAAATTTATTATTATTATTATTATTATCACAAATGAATAACAGGGATATAGGTTTCAAAGAGTTTAAAAGCACCTACATCTACTGGATTTCAGCCACGGCTTAAACATACCCGTTTCTCAAAGGGAGCTATCCCTGTAGTGATTTGTCTAAATAATATATATATATATATATAATTATTATTATTTATACCCTGCCCATCTGGCTGGGTTTCCCCAGCCACTCTGGCAGCTTCCAGCAAAATATTAAAATACAATAATTCATCAAATATTAAACGCTTCCCTAAACAGGGCTGCCTTCAGATGTCTTCTAAAAGTCAGATCGCTATCAAAGGATTTACATTCTAAGAATTGGCATCCAAATCACAACAGCCTCTCAAACACAAGATGCTATTATTTTACAAATAATGGACATTGTCCAATGTGGATTCAACCTGTGCTGATTTAAATTTGGCTGCCCTTTTAAAGATCATTTTGAGTATTTAACTGCACTGGCAGCTTAGACAGCAATAATAGTGAGAGGCTGTGCATGCTCTCTGTATACGTGCAGAAGCTGGCATGAGGTGCATAACACAGGATGCTGACAGTGTCAGTTTTGTCTATAATATTCAAAAGGAATCTAGTTTCTAGCCCAAGGCTGCAAAAGTAGAATTGAAAGGGCATGGGCAATGCCTGGCAAAATGTCAGTGAAAAGAAGGTGATGAAGCAGTATTTCCTGGGCTTGGAGGCAAAGCTTTTATACCATGGCTGTTGGAAAAGTTATGTGCCAAAACAGATGCATGCAAATCAATATAATCTGCATGATTTACATAGGTTTAATTACTAACACCGAATATCACCCATGCACTTAAAAGAACTGCCTTTATTATATTGACTGAGTCTGCCCTCATGACATACCTTCAAGTTTTCCATCTGATCCGATATCTACATACAAGGAAAGTTAGAATTGTCAAAGCAGTGATACATGGAACATCATAAGATAAGCATACCATATTGTGGTTGTTGCCAATATGCCAATTTAGGAACCGAATGGACTTTATCTCCTGACCATCCATTGGACTTTCTCTTGATATGTTCTGTTTGCATGATGTGTTGATCTATAGAATTACACTTTGTGAGATATTATATGCTGAATTGTGTTTGAAATAGAAGTCACATGGTCAAAAACAGCCTGTTAAGTTGTGTGTGTTGTTACCGGGATTGTATTTACGTAACCTAAAGTTTAGTAGTCTTTCTCATGATCACTCTAATACCCATTTTATAGATGGGGAAATTATGCTGAGAAATGCCTGGTGTCTCCAGACTTGCCAGTATTATGCAGGAGGGATACATGCACAGACTGGAAAATGAAGTTTGCACAACTAAAGTAGATTAAAGGTCTCCGTCTTCCTGATGCACTAAATCCAAAACAAAGAAAAGAAAAGAATCGGGACTTCTGCAGTTTGGAAAGTAATAGGGAAATGCAATGAATAGTGTGGGGTGAATACTGGGGGAAAGATTCCTGCATTGCAGGGGGTTGGACTAGATGACCCTCGTGGTCCCTTTCCAGCTCTGCAATTCTATGATTTTGTGATTAACAAGAAACTAATTAAACACCCCAAAGAAAAATCAGGAGAAATGCAAGTTGTTGTTGTTAGATTTTAAACATCTTTATTGAAAGTTCAAAAAGCATATAATTATATGTGCACTAAACAATGTGAGGCGCAAATAAAAAAGAGAAACAGAATCCGTGCAGAAGGGAAAATAAAGGGTGGAGGAGAGAAAACCTAAAACTGTATACTTTACAAGGTTGTTATTGTACTTCACCAGATCTTAACCTATTACAGCGTTTGTAAGAATGGATTCGAAATATCACTGAATTTGTCCATGGCAAGTCTGCGTTTATATGCAAGTTGTTCATCTGTTGCAAGTTTGTCTAAATCTCCAATCCAATCGTAGAAGAGAGCCACATTTTTAGAAATGCATGTTGTTTTATAACCACCCTGCAAAGATATCAGAATGAATGCTCAATAAAGGTCCAGTATAACCTAACCTCTGCCTAAGGTTTGTACAAGCAAATCAGGACAAATCCTTGATAAACAGGTAAAGATGCATCCCTCCCTGAGACCAGAGAGTCATGGCCAGTGAGACTAGACAGTACAAAAGTGTGCCTGATGTGATGTAAGGATGCATCCGGCATCAAACAAATGAAACTGCTACCTCTGCACAGGTGAGCCTCTCTGCCTTCCACAGGCTTGGAGTCAACAGCTATTCATGTGCAAAAGGTTCAGAGCAACCCTTTTCACAACTTGTTGAGATTCTATTCTGCTGCCCCACTTGGGTGGCGTCAAGTGAAATCTTGAGTTGGGATGCTGCATCAGTCTCTCTTCCAATGCATGATTTCTTTTGTTCTTTTGTTAAATGTATATACCCTGTTCTTCTTCCCAAAGGAGTAGGGCAGCAACCAGAGAACCAAAAATAACAAGACCTTTCAAATAATTCCAACGCAGATGCAGACTGGAAAGATCTCAGTTTAAAAGGGCTTGTTGAAAGAGGAAGGTCTTCAGTAGGCTCCAGAAAGGCAACAGAGACTGTGCCTGCCCAGTATTCAAAGGGAGGATGTTCTGAAAGGTAGGGCCACAATCCAAAATATCCCATTCCTATATTATGAGGAATGGACCTCCTGATAAGATGGTGTCTGCAAACGGCCCTCACCTGCAGAGCCCATTGATTGACTGGGTATATATAAGAGGTGAGATTACCTTGCTGCTCCCAAACTTTACACACCGAAACCAGCACATTCAACTTAGCCCAGTGGTTCACTGCATTCTTTCAACAGTGGGGTGATGTGTTGGCAATATCCTGCCCCAGTGAGCAGTCAAACCACCCCATTTTGCACCAGCTGCAACTTCCAGATCAATCTCAAGGGCATTACTCCCACCACCACCACCAATAGCAGCACATTGCAATAATCTGTGCTGGAAGTCACCAGTGCATAGATGACAGAGGTAAACACTATAATAAATAATAATAATAAAATTTTATTTCTATCCTGCCCTCCCCAGACGAAGCCGGGCTCAGAGCGGCTAACAACAGTAAAATAATACAGCATTCTAAAATCAATTCATTCTAAAATCAGTTCAAATCAAATTAATGGCAACCATTGAGCTAGAGTTCTGTGAGGATTACCAAAGGGAGGGGGTCAGGCTGTGCCTTGGCCAAAGGCCTGGTGGAACAGCTCTGTCTTGCAGGCCCTGCGGAAAGATGTCAAGTCCCGCAGGGCCCTAGTCTCTTGTGACAGAGCGTTCCACCAGATCAGGGCCACAGCCGAAAAAGCCGTGGCTCTGGTTGAGGCCAGCCTAACCTCCCTGTGGCCCGGGACCTCCAAGATGTTTTTGTTTGAAGATTGTAAGGTCCTCCGTGGGACATACTGGGAGAGGTGGTCCCATAGATACGAGGGTCCCAGGCCGTATAGGGCTTTAAAGGTTAAAACCAGCACCTTAAACCTGATCCTGTACTCCACCGGGAGCCAGTGCAGCTGGTATAGCACTGGATGAATGTGATCTCGCAGCGAGGACCCCATAAGGAGTCTTGCAGCAGCATTCTGCGCCCACTGGAGTTTCTGGGTCAGTCTCAAGGGCAGCCCCACGTAGAGTGAGTTACAATAATCAAGCCTGGAGGTGACCGTTGCATGGGTCACAGTGGCTAGGTCAGGGCAAGAGAGGTAAGGAGCCAACTGCTTAGCTTGGCGGAGATGAAAAAATGCCGCCTTTGTTATAGCTGTAATCTGCGCCTCCATGGAAAGGGAGGTGTCGAAGATTACACCCAAACTCTTAACGGACGGTGCTGGCACTAATTGTGCCCCACAAGAGATGGGAGTTGCCCCCCATCTCTATCCTGATCCAGAAACAGTTGTAGCTGCCTTACCAGCCCAAGAGCACCCCCAGATTAACAATCTGATCTTTCAGGGGGAGTATGACCCCATTATCTCTCTCCTATGTTCTGGTGGTGGTTTCGTGTTACTTGACTAACCTGCGGGAATATTGGAAGGATGTGTCTGTCTCCACGGCAGGTCAGAGTTTTCCACACCTCCCCCATCTTTAACAGCAGCACAAGTGTTTGACTTGAAGCCAATATCCAGTCAGTTCCAAACGATTTTACTTTCCGCTGCTATTAAAATACTGCTTGAATCAGGCTCTAATGTAATCCCTCTTGCCTCATTACCTCTCTGTGTGTTTTGCTGCCTCCATGTGGTTGGCACTGGAAATGAGCGGATTATCGGGAAGCTGGCTGCTCCTTTTCCTACTGCTTTTGGTAACATTTGGGGAAGTTTCACGGGCATCCTTCTTTTTGACACTCTGGACCATTCATGTCTATTTCTGAACTGCTGTAGTTCCTGTACTGGCAGGACTCCTCTCTCATTGTATTCAAACCAGTGCCAGTAATTTGAGCTATGATGCAGAGGAAATAAAGTTCTATTTGAGCTAAAATTGGTCCATTCAAAGCAATGTGAAAATCAACCCCCGCCACCACTTTTGCCTCAGGGGTTCCTCAGCTCTGTGACTCACCCTAAGCCACAACAGATCCATCTAAGTAGTTAAAATGTTGGTGAGCATTCTGTGATATCACAGCATCTTAGCCAATGGCAAAAAGTGCATGGGCTCAGAAGTAGCAAATGCAACATTATATAATTCTATATAGTTGCACTTGTATGAGTGGTGGTGCAGTAGCAGCTCTTTTCAGGCACTCATTGGACTTGGCTGCAAATTTGAGAAAACTATGTTCCTGCACAATAAACACACAGTGTTCCGATGTGGTAGCCAGAGAAGCCAGATGCTCATCATCATTAAAAGACACAAACTCTTAACCTATATAGTGGCAGACTACCCATGCAGCAAATGGAGCAGCTGAAAACCTGTGATAGATAGTGGCTGGCTTATATTCGGGTCATTCCCCCCACAGGTGTGTCATGTCAAAAGAAAGTAACATTGCTGTTTCACAACAAGCTCTCGTTCAACAATAGGAATAAATGTGATTTTGGTAACCTGGAATGACAAAAACCCAAAATTAGCAGGAATTAGTGGGTCAGGGGAAGAAACTTGGGGAAGCAAAGAGAGGTCCAGAGGTTATCTGGAGCTGTCCGTTCAGCACTAGACCAATAACTGCAAAAACAGATGTCTGAGCGGAGTAACCAGAGGTCCAGGAACATTATTGGCTATTATTCTTATTTAATTATTTGAACCAGGAGCATTCTGTTTTTCCTACCCAAGCAGGCGTTCAAGATGGTTCAGAAAAGCTATTAAATCCCCAGAGACACAAGTCAGCTCTCCATCTCATGGAACTACAGAGGGCTCTCATTCTTAGCTTCCCTGCTAAAGCAGATCTTTCCAAACTGTGTGTGTTGTGACACGTTAGTTTGTCGGCTGCAGTGTGCATGTGTGTCATGCAAACGCTCTCCGAGCTCCTCCCGGGGCTGGAAAGGGGTTCATTTAACCTCCAGTTCGCTAGTAAAACTGCATTATCGTGTCACGAAATTATGCACATCTAAAGAAAGTGTCGGGACACGGGTGGCGCTGTGGGTTAAACCACAGAGCCTAGGACTTGCTGATCAGAAGGTCGCAGTTCGAATCCCCGCAACGGGGTGAGCTCCCGTTGCTCGGTCCCTGCTCCTGCCAACCTAGCAGTTCGAAAGCACGTCAAAGTGCAAGTAGATAAATAGGTACCACTCCCGCAGGAAAGTAAACGGCATTTCCGTGCGCTGCTCTGGTTCGCCAGAAGCGGCTTAATCATGCTGGCCACATGACCCAGAAACTGTACACCGGCTCCCTCGGCCAGTATAGCGAGAAGAGTGCTGCAACCCCAGAATCGGTCATGAGTGGACCTAGTGGTCAGGGGTCCCTTTACCTTTTTAAAAAGAGTGTCACAGACATGAAAAGTTTGGAAAGCTCTGTACTAAAGTGTCCACCAGGAAAACCTGTTTGCAGATGGTAGTTACAGAGTCACCATAGCTCCAGTTATTGGCAGAAAGGGATAGCAAGACAAGCCTAAGTATTGCTACTGTTGGGTTCTAGAGGGGGAAGCCCACTGTAGCCGACCCCAACCCTGGAAAAGGCCATCAGAGAGAGCTGGCAGCAGTGATAGAGAGCAGGAATTATCCACTGCCAAGCCAGAGATCAACATGTTTAGTCATTTAGTCGTGTCTGACTCTTTGTGACTCCATGGACCAGGGCACTCCTATCTTCTACTGCCTCCTGCAGTTTGGTCAAACTCATGCTGGTAGTTTCGAGAACACTGTCCAACCATCTCGTCCTCTGTCATCCCCTTCTCCTTGTGCCCTCCACCTTTCCCAACATCAGGGTCTTTTCCAGGGAGTCTTCTCTTATCATGAGGTGGTCAAAGTATTGGAGCCTCCGCTTCAGGATCTGTCCTTCCAGTGAGCACTCAGGGCTGATTTCCTTAAGAATGGATAGGTTTGATCTTCTTGCAGTCCATGGGACTCTCAAGAGTCTCCTCCAACACCATAATTCAACATACAGTCTGCATATTCTCTTTTCTGCTCTGTAGAAGCAGACAAAGGTTTGGGAGACAATATTCAAACAGATATGGCAGGTTGTAGTGATACAGATATTTGCTTTTCCTGGGCATTGCTCAAGCATATGAAAGGACGACTCACACATAGCTAATATACAGAAATTGAACAGTGCCATGGTGATTACTGAGACATGGTTAGAGGGGAACCTAACTTTTTTTTATTGCACCTCACCCTGGGCTACAAATGGAATATGCAGAAATTGGCACAAATAGCAGCCGGGTGGGTAGTGCCTGTAACTAAGCCTGAATGGTACACTATTATGTCTACACAGCTTAACCTCAAAATAGGGGTGACTGGGTTGTCCTGGAGGCGTAAGGATGTATATTCCTATCTACCCAGTTATGTGCACAGATTATTAGGGGGGGTCATTTTCTGTATGTCCACCTGTAAACACATTAGTGGATGGCTCACCCAACAAGCTCAAAAGGCAACAAATACTGGCGTGAAAGTAAACTGGAAAAACTTTGGTTAACTCTCCAAAGATGAATGCGGTAAGAAGTAGGAATGGGCTGAGTTTTGATAACCTGCAGTCCTTTTTTTCCCCTTGCTCATCAGTAACAGGAACATCAGAAGTTATGCAAAATGAAAAACATGCTCATTTGCTAATTGTACAATACAGGGTACAGGGTTTGGGTTAGTGTGACACAGAATTTTGATGATTATTTTCAAGCAGGGTTCCTGAGTGTAGTCAGGCAGAGGCCCTGACATTCTTCTTGGACTGAAAAAAAAATACAGCTAACATCTTCAGACTGATCTTTATAAATTAATAGGTGCCCATGGCTATTATCTTGTTCCCCAGGTATGAGAAAATGCTCGTACACCTCAGCCTTTCTTTAAAAGTAGATCAAACTGACAGACAGACCACAGCAGGTAACCAAATGGGTAGCATCTACAGGAAACTGTGGCGTGCATAACTTGGCCACTTCCCTCTCATTTCCCCAAGCATCTAACAATTTTTTAAAGCCCTAAAGGCTGTATAAAACCACAACCTTCTCTCCTGCTTGGAAAATGAAGTAGCTGTTGCAAACTCATACATCTCAAAATATTAACATCTGCTCCTGAAATTTCCATTGGGGCTGCCAAAAAAACGTTGCCTAACAGTACTGTGTGAGGCTCAACTTACAACGTGTCTGGATAATTCCCTTCTTGGCCCCAAACAAAAACTTTGATAATGTTTAATATCAATTTGTCATCTTCATTAATCAAAAAGTTTTAGCGCTTAATCCTTGCGTCAGGTGCCTCACGTAAAATGGAATAGATTGGGAGCCATTCCTAGCTAGCTTAGTTTTGCCATATTAGGAAATGGAATTATGGTTCCCTGCAAAATGCCTATGCAGTTCTTATCATGATTTCATGCACTACAATTGGTAGAAAGAGCCTCTTTTTGTACATAATTGTGTGTGCAAGGGAGTGGGGTACAAAGGTGCATATACCTTGTTGTTGGCACCCATCTGTCTCAGGAGACAATGGAAGAGTGCACCTTTGGGGGTAAAGTCAAACCACTGGAGAGTTACAGCTGTAGAGACCAAGATGAGACATGCTTTAGTGCGGATGGAGCAGATGAAGGAGCCTGGTTTCGCTGTTACAGGCACACCATAGTGTTTCTTCTCTCTGTGCTCCTTCCAATGGTCATTCCCTCCTCTGGTGACTGCTATGGATACATGACCCGACTGTCAAAATTAGAAGCACTCAGTGGAAGTATAGATTTAAGGATCTGCTCCTAATCTAAAATGCCCCATTTTCACCTATTCCTAAAATATTATTGCTGCTTGCTCTTTTAGTTCAACACTGCAAGGCTCAACCTTGCCTTGTGAACATGTATTAAATGTCCTTCTACATGTGTTCATTTAGCTTGGTACAATCTTCTCCAACTGATGCCCCAACATCCCAGGTAAAGATTTCCCTCAGCTCAAAGAACCAAGAGCCTTTCAACAGGAAATGACATTAATCAAACCTGGAACCGTCAGCATGCAAAGTCATTGAGCTATACAATCTCTCCCCTTAAAAGGTTAAAAAAAAATGGTAAAGGACCCTTGGACAGTTAAGTCCAGTCAAAGGCAACTACGGAGTGTGGTGCTCATTTCGTTTTCAGGCCAAGGGAGCCAGCGTTTGTCCGCAAACAGCTATCCTGGTTATGTAGCCAGCATGACTGAACCGCTTCTGGTGCAATGGAACACAGTGACGGAAACCAGAGCTCACGGAAACGCCGTTTACCTTCCTTCTGCAGCAGTACCTATTTATCTGCTTGCACTGGTATGCTTTCAAACTGCTAGGTTGGCAGGAGCTGGGACAGAGCAACGGGAGCTCACCCCATCATGGGGATTCAAACCGTCAACCTTCTGATCAACAAGCCCAAGAGGCTCAGCGCCACCAACGTCTCTACAAGTTGCATGTACCTGTAAGTAAACAGTGCTTACTTCTGAGCAAAGATATATTGCTACCCGCTCTCCCCTCAATAGCCAGCAGTATTCAGGTACCTCTCCATTAAGGAAGACATGTTCTCTTACGTTACCCTCTTGCAACCTGAGCTACATCAATGTTGAATTCATCACATGGACTCAGAGCAAGAAGCTTGAGAAAGGATGGGAAATGGGTGCCCTGCAGATGTTGCTGGACTACAACTCCCATCACCTCTAATGATAGGCCATGCTGGCTGCAGCTGATGGGAGTTGGGGTCCAACTTTTAGAGGCCCTCAGGTTCCCCATGCCTGCCCAGTGACTCTTATCCCACCATCAGCTTGAGCCCTGATTAGTTGACTTCCCAACACAAAAGGACCATTTTGCAAGAAGCACATCAAAACAAGTTTAGACCAGAAAGCAACTGACCGCTATGCCACTGTGTCTACGTGCCTCCAGCTGTTACTCAGCTTTCCATTCCTTGTCTGCAATCTTAAATCCAAGTTCCAGGTCACCCCTAGCAAACAGATAGGCTGGTAGGCTGTCCTCAAACAACTGTTTGCGTATTTGTATCTAAGTCCCTGGCATTCAGTGCAAAAGTGGTTTGTCATATGGCATGATGGTGGATTGGAAAGCCCCTTGGGTGTACCAAATTAGTCACATGCTTCTCTGGATTCTCAGCCTCTGTTATACATATATTCCATGCTGACCTAAGAGAGAATTTCAGAGCAATGGGAGGTATCTGAAAGTGAGACAACCTCTCCCTGTCTGCTGTACAGAAGCACAGATCTTCTTACTTTCATGTAGCAACATTTAACAAAGTATAGCGGAGCTTTTTCTTACTTCTAGATATGGATTGCTGATATTTTTATAGAAGTTATTGCATTTATGTATTTAAAATTTATGTATTTTTTTTTTATTTCATAGCCCTACATTGTAAATCATCTAGAAGCTTCAACGTTGATATAATAAAATATAATTACCACCACCACCAACTGACAAATGCTGGAAACCCAAATTTCTAACACCAAACACAAACACAACATACAGATGGCACTGCCAATTTACAATAAAGGCGGTGTACATATGTGAGAAAAATACATAGCATCTCAGACACTTGGACTTGATCCCTCCAGTTGAAGACATCCAGATTTTCCATCTGATCTTTGTCAGGATAACTTGGCCTTCAACTCAGCAGAGAATCAGAGTGATAAAAACCTGAAATAATCATTATCTGAAATGCTTTAGTAATGAATCCTCTGAGAGATATTTTGTCTCAAGGAGTGCACATAATAGTTAAGGCATAAAGGATTTTATAGAAACGTGGTTGTTCGTTTTTTGCTAAAAACAACTAACTAGACATATTTCAAGAGCTGACAATTTGATGAATGTCTTTTCTTTTCCTGAAACAAAGACCATTTGTCTACTTTACACAAGCTACTTTGGGTGCATTGAATGGTCTTCTTTATAAAACAATCCATGGCAGATTCTTGCTTCCCGACACCTGAGAGTTCAGAGGATTCTGCTCCATCTTCAAAGAGCACCCCATGAACATGAAATTAACGAGAAATACACGTCCACCTTGAACATGAGTGAACAGTGCCACTCCAGCCGTCTGTCTGGTACATTTTAGCCTGTGGTCAGTCAGCAAATTCTCCCAAACCAGATTTGATGCTATAATGTTAGCCTGGAAGTGGTAGTGATAGGGAGGCAATAATTAGCTGGAAGTTATAGTAGAAATGTTGTATAATAGTGTCTGGGTGTTTTTCAATCCTAATCCTACTCAGAATAAACCCAGTGATGTTAACAGGCATTACTAACTTGGGTTCATTAACTTTAATGGGTCTGTTCTAAATAGGACTCATTTAAATACCTCTTTGCTGCTCATCATGACTTCATTACACTTTCATTTTGTAAGGGATCATGTTCAATGTCCAGTTCCTTTCATTAAGTCGACAGACTATATTTATTAGACAAGAGCACCCCTATCCCCACAAAAACACACACATAAGAGCAAGGAATTTTAAATTCAGCATAAATCAAACACTTTATTTTTAAAGTGAATTTACAGGGATTTTGTTTTGTTTTTAAGTTACCCAAAAATCTTTTCTAATAATCAGTGGCACATCTGGTTAGTTAAGTGATAATTCAGGATATGGTAGAATGTCATTCAAATCTGAATGTTTCATATAACAACACTTAATTGTAATTGATCTGCAACTTACCCTCATGCCAAGGTTGTGGTATATGCCATGATTCCAGTTTAAGACAATTTTGTTCAGGAGCAGAATTAAGTATCCTTCCATTTTGCCCACAATAGGGAAGGATGGGAATGAACACATCGGTTTGGTAAATCTGGGCACAGGTTTCATTACCCTTCCAAACACATTTGACATGACACATTTCAGAGGCATCAATCACACTGGTGGACTATCCACTGCCAGGGGTACCCTTAGGGCTCAAGGAAATCACTGGCATAACTCCAGGTTGGGGCCTTAACTTACGGGCCAGGTGTGGATCAGAAAGGAGCTCCCAATCTGGTCTTCATCAACACTTCATCCTCAACTGACCCACTTCAAATCATGTGGGCAACGTCTGATGGATTTTCAGAAGCCAAAGTCGGACCAAGTATACGTTTCCAGTGGTAGACTCCAGAGCGCTGCAGAACTTATTGACCTTAACCATACCAATGGTATCGAATCACATGCACATGACTTCAACTTGGCTCCTTTTAAGCAGATTGAACCGTATGGCTTTTTTCTACATAGAAACTGGATGCAAGAATGTTTTTATGTAATTAAAAAGCACATCCCTGCCTCAGTGTATATAGTTATTGGATTCTAAAATTGACTCCATCTAGCATCCCTTCACAAAACTGGAGTAAAACAAAGTCATCTGGAAATATTCTTTGTGTAGCACTGGTGTTACGATTACTTTTCAGCTAGGTATCTTGCCTGATATATAATCAGAGGAGTGGGGGTTAAATAAAAAGTAGTAGTATGACTGATGGCCAGACTGAGTCTCTATGGGCTCCCAAAAAGTTCAATGGTATCTCCCAGGTGATCCAAGTTAATGGTGTCCTTTCCTAATATCTCATCCACACACTGAGATGTAGGGAGATGAGGAAGAGAAAGAATCATAACTTAGTAAGCGGTAGCCTAACCTAAGGCCCCAAGTGCCCCCCACCTCCCCCTTTGACTTAGAAACGGAAGTAAAGGAAAAAGGAGGGTGGGGAAAACCCTCCATAATTTATGGTATCCGTGGCCTAGCCAAAGCCGCAGAAATACTGGAAATCTCCAAATCAGTGCCTGAGGTTGTGTGATA